AAGCATGAAGCCCGCTCAGCTCACTGTCACCATATGTCACCTGGGTGCTGCTGGCAGCCGCGGTACTGCAGTGCCTCACAGCAGCATCCCCTTGCCTTGCGGATGGCAGACGGTGCAATATGACTGCTAGCCGTCGTCATTGTCGTCCCATGGGTGCTCCTGACTGACCTCAGTTAGGTTGGTCGGGGGCGCCTGGGCAGACATGGGTGCTCCTGGCCGGCCTCGGTGAGGTCGGTCAGGGGCGCCTGGACATAAATGGGAATGACTCCAGATCATTCTCTTCTTTAAGTTTCATCTAATGGAGATTCAGTCCTGCCTGGAATATCATGCCAGCTGGAGGCTTCTGCCTCAGGCTGCTCTCCCAGTCGGCAGCACTGCGCGCTTGCACCTACCCCAGCCTACCCCTTGCGCCCATGGCTCATGAAGCTTGGACAGTAGTAAGGAGCAGTTCAACTATAGGCTGAGCAAGTGCATAATGGTGGTAGAATGTGCTTTTGGACGTTTAAAAGCTCGCTGGCGCAGTTTACTGACTTGGTTAGACCTCAGCGAAACCAATATTCCCATCGTTATTCTTGCTTGCTGTGTACTCCACAATATGTGTGAGAGTAAGGGGGAGACGTTTATGGTGGGGTGGGAGGTTGAGGCAAATCGCCTGGCCACTGATTACACGTAGCCAGACACCAGGGCGGTTAGAAGAGCACAGCAGGGCGCGCTGTGCATCAGAGAAGCTTTGAAAACCAGTTTCATGACTGGCCAGGCTACGGTGTGACAGTTCTGTTTCTTTCTCCTTGATGAAACTCTCCCCCCCTTGGTTCACTTTACTTCCCTGTAAGCCAACCGCCCTCCTCTCCTCCCTTTGATCTCTGCTTGCAGAGGCAATAAAGTCATTGTTGTTTCAAATTCATGTATTCTTTATTAATTCGTCACACAAATGGGGGGATAACTGCCAAGGTAGCCCGGGAGGGGTGGGGGAGGAGGGAAGCACAGGGGTGGGGTAATTGTAGGGGTACCCCCTACAATGGCATGCAGCTCATCATAGAAGCGGCATGTCTGGGGCTCTGACCCGGAGTGGCCGTTTGCCTCTCTAGTTCTTTGGTAGGCTTCACGTAGCATAGCTGCGGGTCCCTGTTATAACCTCTGTCCTTCATGCCCTTGGAGATTTTTTCAAATATTCCGGCATTTCGTCTTTTGGAACGGAGTTCGGATAGCACGGATTCATCTCTCCATACCGCGATCAGATGCAGTACCTCCCATTTGGTCCATGCTGGAGCTCTTTTGCGATTCTGGGACTCCATGGTTACCTGTGCTGATGCGCTCTGCATGGTCACCTGTGCTGATCAGCTCGCCACAGTGGCCAAACAGGAAATGAAATTCAAAAGTTCACGGGGCTTTTCCTGTCTACCTGGCCAGTGCATCTGAGTTGAGAGTGCTGTTCAGAGCGGTCACAATGGAGCACTCTGGGATAGCTCCCGGAGGCCAATACCGTCGAATTGCATCCACACTACTCCAAATTCGACCCAGCAGGGTCGATTTCAGCGCTAATCCCCTTGTCGGGGAGGAGTACAGAAATCGATTTTAAGAGCCCTTTAAGTCGACAAAAATGGCTTTGTCGTGCGGACGGGTGCAGGGTTAAATCGATCTAACGCTGCTAAATTCGACCTAAACTCGTAGTGTAGACCAGGGCTAAGCTAGGACTAAAGCCTCCACATTGGCTCCCTCACTGATGTATACAAAGCTGCACTTTGCAGCTCTACCCACCCCTTATGCAGCATGACTCCCTCAAGCTGATGCCCAAATCACAGGCACTTTGTAGCTAGTGCTCCTAGAGGCCCAGGGCTGCTTGTTAATTGCCCAGCATGGGAATCTATGGGACAGTTCTCAAAGAAAAAAAAAAGATTCCTCACCGCAGTAATTATGACCCTGCTCACTTTCCCCTTCTTCAGAGTCTTGGGGAAAGCATTCGCAGAGTAGGAGGGCATACGGGATGTTTGGGGCCCTTTTATGCCTTTGAAAGCCTGGATGAGTGGCCCCCAATGGATGCTGCTTTTAGGGCTTCCGACCTTGCCTGTTGTGCAAGTGTTCACCCTGACTGTGTGGATTCACATGGGCAATCACCTTGAAGAACCAGTCAGGAGGGGAAAGAATGAGTCTGGGGAGCTGGGAGAGAGGGAGGTGAAAGAAAAATCATGGCACAGTCCCCTCCCACACTGCCATCAGCTGCAGAGCTAGGAACAAAGAATGTAGGTCACACTTATCAGTGGGGGGGACTGTATCTTGGAAAGCAGTGCCTCTGAAAAGGACTTAGGGGTCATGGTAGAAAACAACTGAAATGAACTCCCAGGGCAATGCTGTGGCTAGGAGGGTGCATGTGATTCTTGGCTGTGTTAACAAGGGGATATCAGGTAGGACTAGGGAGATGGTATTACCTCTATATACAGCTTTAGTGAGACCATTGCTGGATACTATATTCAGTTCTGGGTCTGCACTTCCATAAGGATACTGATAAATTGGCAAGTATTAGGCAAAGAGCGATGAGAACATTTCAAGGTCTGGGAAACACGCCTTAGAGTGAGAGACAGGTTGAGCAGTGACTTGATCATGGTCTACAAGTACCAGGGGGGCAGGGATAGCTCAGTGGTTTGAGCCTTGGCCTGCTAAACCCAGGGTTGTGAGTTCAGCCCTTGAGGGGGCCATCTAGGGATCTGGGGCAAAAATCTGTCTGGGGATTGGTCCTGATTTGAGCAGGGGGTTGGACTGGATACCTCCTGAGGTCCCTTCCAACCCTGATATTCTACTTACATGAGGAGATTTCTGATAGCACAGGACTCTTTACCCTAGCAGACAAAGGCGGAACAAGATCTCAGGGCTGGAAGCTGGAGCGAGACACATTCAGAGTAGGAATAATGCATAATTTATTTAATGATTATGTTCTCTTCTGACCTTAAAATCTTCCAATGCACCTTGCTCTGCTATGGCTACTTGGGCACTCAGGCTCCCTGGCATTCCCCACCACTGAAGAACCGATACCAGCCGCAGGGCATTTATAAGCCTCAGACAGGCACCCCCTATTCCTCATTCAAATCCACCATGCCCACAGGAAGTGACTGTATTAGAATTACACAGGAGGAGAATTGTTTTCAAAGGCCTCGCCCTTTGCAGCAGGCTGACTTCTCTGGCAAGGTGTCCCCATTACCGTCACACTCAGAGGGAGGCTCTTGTCTGGAAGGCTCTGCTCGCACCTTTAGAACTTAGAAAGCTTTTTCCTTGCTGATGGATGGTCTAGGTCTGACGGGTTCCCTGCAGATAGACTGGGGTGTGCAGCTGGAAAAACTAAGCTCTCGAACAACGCTGACTTCCTAAGTGCATCTGTGGTGTATTCCCTGCCCCTGGCAGCACAAGTGAAATGAGTAATGATACTGAGCCATTAGTTGGTGCTTTGCAGTGTCAAAGCATTGTTTAAATACTCACTAAATACATCTCTGCTGTCATAAACAGACCCAGTCTGTGCAGTACATGCTGCAGGCATCAGCTGGGCTGCCCCCAGTGCAAACAGTGAGCAGGGCCTCTTGCTAGATCCTGGCCAAACTTCACCCCCCCCTCCCCCATGACACACCCCACCACACTGGGCACAGCTTCTTACCTCACAACCATGCACCATGTGGGGACATGTGTCTGCCCACATTCAATGTAGATAAATGCAAAGTAATGCACATTGGAGGGGAAAATCAGAACTACTCATACACTGTACAGGCCTCTACCAGCTCAGAAAGAGACCTGGGTGTCGGTGCAGCAGCTCAAAACAGCAAACAAGGTGCTGGGACGCATAAGGCATGGACTGGAGTCTAACGCCATTATATATTCAAGGGGGCGGCCTCACCTGGATATGGCAGAATTTGAAGGAGTGCAGAGAAAGGCGTTGGGAATGCTCAGAGGCCTGGCACAACTATCATATGAAGAGAGATTGAAAAGATTGGGATTATCATTATTCTTTAGAGAAGAGATGAATAAAAGGGGACATGATACAAACCTATAAAGTAATAAATGATCTAGTGAAGTTAGATCAGGAGCTTCTGTTCTCCCTGCCTCACAGCACAAAGACAAGGGGTCATTTGAGTAAATCAAAAGGTGGCAAATTCAAAAACCAGTAAAAGAAAATACTGTCCATCAAAATGCATAGTCTGCGGAATTCATTGCCACTGGAAGTCATTAAGGCCAAAAAGGGCTGGACATTTAGATGGACAATGAGAATATCCAGATTTATAAGAGTTAATGCAAAAAGAGGTATTGGGAGGAATATTAAACATTGGATTAAATCCTGAAGCACAATCTCCAACAATTAAAGATTAGAATCAGACCTTTGGGGGGAGGGAGAGGAGCAGATTACCCCTCATCTACTGCTTTGGGGTTCTTACACTTTCCTCTGGACAGTTGGGCACAGGACACTGGACTAGAAGGATCTTGGAGCTGACCGAGTCTGGCCAGTCCTACGTTTCTTGTTCTAGTGTATGTATCAGTGCACTCTGGGAGAATGTAGGCAGCTACTCCATGATGCCTCAGCAGGGCACAGAGTGCCTGGAGAACATGCTCACACAAGCTACGCTGTGTGGGTTATGCACCCAGCGAGCCCTACTACAGAGAGAGCAGTGTGGGAGGAGAGCAGGGTGGCCAAGCCGGATACACTGTTCAGGGAGATTTCCCTCTGTGCTGTAAGCAGACGTGCCAGTAGCCTACCCGTTCCTACCTGCCCCAGAGGTATCTCCATCGTCCATGGAAGTCACCGACCACGTCACCCTCTCAGTGTTCACAGCATTGGCCCTGATGCCTCCATCAGCACCTTCCCAGCTCTTCTTGCTCCTCACAAAGGAAGGAGGAAACCAGAGACCTATGTGATGTCATATTGGCCAGACACTGATTGGACGGAGGCCCGGGACTTGGTTTATGATGTCACGAGTGGTGAGGCAAGTCTCCGTAGATGCAGGCATCTGGTGCTCCGGTGGAAGATGCTGCTGCTGTCCCTCCTCCTGTTCCACACCCAGGTCTGGCCCATGCACAGCACGAATGGCAGCTGTGAGTAAGTGACACTTGGGCCGTGAGAGGAAATACCGAGAGTGGCCCTGATGGGGCACTTCCCAAGCACCAAAGGGCATTGGCTTCCCCCCAACATGGGGCTGTCCTGAATGACAGGGATTCCTGCCCCCTTCCCAGGGTCACGCCCAGGTTCAGGTGACATCTGTGCCTCTTGGGTTAGCAATGAGGCCCTGGCATATAAATCCCATGGGCCATCTCACATGGGGTGGGTAACACACAGGGCTCTTAGGCCCTGCTGCTGCCCACGTGCTGTGTCCAGGGAGAGGCATTTGGCATGACACAGAAGATGTATGGCAAGACCTGGGGAGTGAGATAGAAACAGCCTGGGGCAAAGGTCAGCCCCAGGGGAAGTGTCAGGCCACAGACAGCAGGGCAGTAACACACCTCTGTCTCCAGTGCAGTTTGTGGGCGCCGCCCCCTGATGTCTGGCTACGGCGGGATGCGGATCGTGGGTGGCGTAGATGCTCTGCCAGGGGCCTGGCCCTGGCTCGTCAGCATCCAGATCCCCACCCAAATGGGCCCCCGGCATTCATGTGGTGGGTCCCTCATCAGCACTCGCTGGGTCCTCACAGCAGCTCACTGCTTCAAAGCCAAGAGAAGGTGAGATGGGTGACCTTGGGGGAGGGATGCCCTCACAGCCCAGGCAGGGGGCCAGTAGCTCAGGCCACCCACCCACTGTTCAATGTACTCCCAGCACTTGCAAGCCAGAAGGGCATCTGGGCAATGCCATGGAACTGGCCAGGCCATGGGGCTGATCCTTACTTATGGGGAGAGACAGCTGGGCACCACGGCCTATCCCACAGCCTGGCACCATTCCCTGCCCAAGCATCAACACACCCTAGGCTGAGCCCTGGTGGCATGGGCACTGACTGACAGCTTGTCCCCAGGTGACAGCATGCTGGAGAACACACTGTCCGAGCAGCTGGCCCTGTTGTTTTTCTGTACCTGGCTCCCTGCTGCCGCTCTCTCCTGTGCCTCAGACAATAGGGCAGTGCAATGTACCCAGCTACAGTGCATCTCTCTGGGGCCCTGCACCGGCCGAGAGAGGAACCACTCTATCCCCTCCCCCCTCCCCCCCGTGACTGACGCCCACTCTGTTCTCCAGGCTGCTCCCACAGTGGCGTGTTGTGATCGGTGCATCCCAGCTCTCCCAGCGTGGCCCTGAGGCCCAGGTGCGCTCCATCAAACAGGTGGTGCAGCACGAGCACTACGAGCCGCGCACGGAGAGTAATGACGTTGCTCTGCTGGAGCTCGACCAGCCCATTGCGTGCAATGACTACGCACAGCCCGCCTGCCTGCCCGATGCCATGGTGGAGGTGTCGAACCTGTCCCACTGCTACATCAGCGGCTGGGGAGTCACGCAGGAGACATGTGAGAGTCTAACTGGGCACCTGTCCCAGCAGAAACACTGGGACCACTGGGATCTGGCGAGCATGAAGCTCTGCAGCTGCCCCACACACCTCACTGAGCAAAGGGCACGTGCCCACCAAGGGCTGATCCAAACCTCACCCGCCCAGGCAAGGGAGGAGGAGGAGGGGATGCATAGCAGAACCACCTCCCACAAAACTGACAGAGCAGAGTGAAGGTTAGGCACTGGGGGAGGGGCACACCCATGTGGCGCATTGGGGAACAGGAGATAGGGCTAAGAGCTGTGCAGTAAATATTCTTCATGTCCCTGCAGCCCAGGAAACAGCCGACATCCTGCAGGAAGCCAAGGTGCATCTCCTTGATATCACGACCTGTAACAGCAGCCGCTGGTACAACGGGGCCATCGCCAGCAACAACCTATGTGCAGGGTACGAGCAAGGAGGCATCGACAGCTGCCAGGTACGCAGGCCGGAGCCCTCTCACTGCAGAGTCCTCCCCATCTCCACTCAAATGCTTGTGCTGTGGCCTCACACCCCCTCTTCTGGGATCCCCGCCTAGAACGCTCACTTCCCCCTGCTCTGCTGGAATCCTCACCTGGGAACCTGCCTCCTCTTCCTCCAATATCCCTACCCAGGGCTCTGCTTCCCTCTCCTTTTCCACCAGATCCTCCTCCCTCTCCTCCGACCTGAACAGTTTCAGCACCCTTGGCTATGGTCTCCTTTAGTCCCAGATGACGCTGTTTCTGGCATACAAAAGAAAGTGCAACCACATCATTCCTCCTCACCCATCCCCAGGTTCCTCCACTGGTGCCCAGTCCCTTCCAAACTGCCCCACCTCATTTTAAAACCCATGCCCCAGTCCTTCTGCTTGTCCAGCACTGGCCTCTCTCTACCTGGTGGTATGGGAGCCTTCTCCTCTGTCTGCCTGCTGCCAGAACTCCTTCCATTTGCCCATCTCGTGGGTAATCTCAGCTGGAAACCTCTTTGCTTTTCTCTCTGTCATTGTATTAGGGGTGTAAAGCCCCAGGGATGCTATGCAAAAGGAGGGGGATTGTAGAGCCCACAATGAGCTGCATTGGGCTGTGGCAGCCTCCCAAAGGAAGCGGGAAGATTCCCAGCAATGGAACCGGCCAGAACACTAGGGAATAGGCCACAGGAATGGACTAGAGGGGCCCAGTAGGTGGTTTTCTCTCTAATGTCAATGACTCAGAGACCCACTCTGGGTCAGGAGCTCTTAGGATTAAGAGCACAGCTACTCCTCAGGGCCAGTGAGGCAGACACCCTGCACGAGGTACGCAGAGCTGGGAGGAAGGCCCCGTGCCTTAGCACATGGGGCAGGGAGTGAGGCCTCCGTGCCATAGCGCCGATGCAGAGTGGCTGCGTTCAGAGGCGTGGTACCCAAGAGGGCTCTGTATGGGAGGAGGAAGGGGAGGGAGCTGACTGCTCAGCACTCACCAAACCAGCTATGAGCTAACACCGAAATGCAGCTGACTCTTGATGGGGGAAGCCCTGGCTGCAGCCCCTAGACAGTCCATTCCCAGGGGTGGGGGGCACTGCAAGATCATCCCCTTTTGGAACACGTGCTAGGGCTTTGCCAACGCAAGCCAGGCCTTGGGGGTGAGCCCCCTTCCTCTGAACTCTAGCTGACAAATGTCTCCCAGTGGCGGATGCCAGAGGGACGAGTTGTGGGTCCTTAATCCTCTTCCAAGGAGTCACCGCTACTGCCAAGCCTGACCCACTGTGAGGAGCTGCTTTGCCTCAGATCTCTCTCCCCTGCTGCAGGGCGACAGTGGTGGCCCCCTCATGTGCACAGAGGAAAGGTCAAAGCGCTTCTGGGTTATTGGAGTCACCAGCTGGGGGCTGGGCTGCGCCAAGGCACAGAGGCCAGGGGTCTACAGCTCCACTCAGCACTTTCATGACTGGATCTTGGGGAAAGTCAGGCCTAGGCTCAGGCCCAAGCCCAGGCCCAGAACAAGGACAGGTCTCTGCCTGTCAGTCCAGAGCAGTCTGTCTGACTTCTTCAGGAAGCTGAACGAGTTCCTACAGGACCTGAAGGGAAAGGGGACTTGAGAAGGGAGGGGAGCAGAGCACAGCGGAGGCTGAGATGGACAGTGGCCATTTCTGACGCTTTGCCCACTGTTCTAGAGGACTCTGTACCAGCATGCAGCTCCCATCCTGCCCGTTGTCCTTGTGGATGGAGACTGAGAGCTTACCTCACAGCAGAAGTAAAACAGTGCCCACAACACAACCAGCTCTGCCTCTGTTCTATTCAACCTCTTATGCCATGCCCAGAACCACACAGGAGCAGGGGCTGCACACAGCCAGCTGGGCTAGAATGGTGGAGTGAGGAAGGGGAGGGATGGCTCGCAGTGTGGGTGGAGAAGGGAGGCACACAGAGCCAGCTGGGCTGGAACAGTGGGCACGAGGAAGGGTGGCACACACAGAGCCAGAGAAGCATTGGGGTGGAATGGGTGGGCTGGTACGGTGGGTGGGGTCAGGGAGGGGTGAGAGGTAGAGCTGGCTGGGTTGAAATAGCAGTGGGAAGGGCTGCTATTCAAACATGGTTCGGATGCAGGAAGGACCCAGGCTCAACGCTTTGTAAAAAAATCCTTTAGTGTTGTTTTTCTCAATCTGGGCTCTGCTAATAGACACCTGGGCAGGACCCTTCCCTGCAGGGCAGGCAGTGGCCCAACACCCCAGCAAATGCCCCCCTTCCCTCCCACAGGGGCAGGCAGCAGTCACATGTATTCCTGTTCCTTCTGCGTCCCGGATGCTCAGGAGGATAGGGTCCAGGCCAGGAAGATCAGGCCCAAACAGTCTCCCTCCTAGGGAGGGATGGTCCCAGCCAGAGGCTCCCAGCATGGCCAATGCATGAGAAATCTGCTCTCCCCTGGCAGAGAGTGACGGTTCTAACTAACCATGAAGAAGCTGGGGCGATAGGGAGCAGCACAAGGTTGGTCTGAGGCCTGGGCTCAGGTGGATGTGGGCTTCTCCTCGGGGTAGTTCTCCTCTTTATCCGAGTCCTCCCCCTTTTTCTGCAGCTCAAAGTTCTGGAAGGGAGCAGGATGGGGGAATGGTGAGAAGCAAATGGGAACCAGCCATTCCCCACCACACTATGGCACTCCCAGCACAGCACCTCATCCCCTCACCCCTAACCTGGGACTGTCTGTACAGGATCCCACAACGCTCCCAACACAGGGCCCACCTCACCCACTCTGAGCTGGGACTGGGGCACTACGGGATCCCCATGACGCTCCCAACACAGGCTCCACCTCAGCCCACTCTGCACTGGGACTGGGGGCTTTTTCCTGGTGAGGGAAGGTGTGTGGTGCTGGCAACCACTAAGGAGAGGGAGGTGAGCTTTAGGCAGGGCTCTCTTACCTCCAGCTCCCGCATGACCTCATCCATAAAATCCCCTGAATTCTGTTTGTACGCAACAGCCAGTTTGATAGCATCACTGAAGAGCTGAGGAGAAAGGGGGGCACTTGTCACTCTGGGAATGAGAGGGGCGTCTGAGATGCCCAACCCCAGGTGAACCCACAGGACTTTCCCCCCCACCCTACAGCACCGTAGAGAAACCAGCCATGAGACAACCCCCCAGCAACGGGACCCCCCACACCTGGGAGGCAGCCAGCGAAACATCCTGTCTCACAAAGAACCCCTGCTCCTTCTCACCTCCCCATGCAGCCTGGCACCAGTCCCACCTCACATAGCTAAGATTTACCTTCACTACGTTGGTGCCATCTGCAGCTGAGACAAAATAGAAGGGCAGATTGAACTTCCGGGCAAAGTTGAAGCTTTTCTGAGTAACTTTCATATCCGCTGAAGGAGCAAAGGAGAAGCAGTTGTTGAGCCATCACTGCTGGTAGCAGGCCAAGCATGCCCTGGGACAGCATAGAGAAGGAATCCATGCAACCTGCGTGGGGGCATCTCGCTGGCAAGGCCCCCTTCATGCAGCGCATGGTTTGGATGGTGCCTCCTGACAACTAGAGGTCCCTGCAAAGGGAGGCAGGCTAAACTAACAGTTAGCAAGGAAGTACAGGATGGAAGAGGACCTTTTTGTTGCTGGTCAAGGCTTTCCACAGAGGGACCCTGACAGGGACTCTAACCTGTCTCACTGGGGGACATCTGGTGCAGTGTAAACAATGGAGCATTACTTTTCATCTGTCCCAGCTCCCAGGCCTGCATGGCTCTGTCTGTGCTAGGGATGTCTTTCAAATGTTTCTCACTATTGCTAACAGTGGTTCACCTCCTAGGACACTTGCAGCGTACCGGTGTTGTCATAGAGCCATCACCTTTGCCCTCCCTCCGCTGCTCTTCCACTGTTTGTCACACTCACTTGTTGCTTCTCGTCCCAAAGCCGACTGCAATCTCTTTGGGGCAGGGACAGTCTCATCCTATGCACAAAGGGGCCTGATCTGGATGGGGCCTCTGGGTCCTTCCACAATACAGACTATAAACAGTAGCCAGGTCAGGGAGCCTGGTGAGCTAAGAGGGCTCTGCCAGCTGGCCAGTGTGGTGCAAGTTGCTGTTCAGGGGAGGGGATAGGAAGGAGACTGGGTCATATCAGGGCAGAGCTCAGCTAACTGTACTATATATTTATGTCTGTGCTGAAAACAAATTTGTGGTTTCGGTTTCTTTTTCTGAGCAAAACAAAGTCAAGAGGCAAAAACATGCTGTGAAAGGCCTGCACTTTATCTAGTAAAATATGACCGATGGAGTCCATCTCCAAGAAGCCCTTGGGACCTGCCAGGTGGTCACTTCCCTCAGCCATATCACAAAAGGACCATCCCACAGCACCAAAAGGCTGAGGCAGAAACACTCACCATCAATTTTGTTGGCCACCACAATGCAGGGGATCTCTGGGCGGAACTCTCTCAGCTCCTTGTACCAGTTATTCAGGTTCTTGTAGGTGACCTTCCTCTGCACATCAAACACCTGCCAAGGAAGAGCCACCTGTCACCAGGCCTGCAGCTGGACAGTCCCCGAGCAACCCACTGCACTGAGCATTTGCAAAGAACTCATCCCACCATGCGAAATCACTGCCCTTCTTTTTAAACATACAGAATTGCAGAGTTAGTGCTTGAAGGGAAGATGCTGAAGGGAGATTATTTAGATTGGATCAAAATGTTTGATACAGCATTCCATGGAACCTCAGTGTCAGAATTAATTACAATTGGCTTAGACCAGACACCAGCATAGGGGCTGACAACTGGCAGGAAGGTGGTAAAACAAAGGCTATGGTAAATGGCAAACTATCATCAAGCCATTAAAAATAAAACCAGCCCCTCTCCCTGCACTAAGCTATCATCAGCCTCTTGGTCTCTCTGCACAACGTGCCTTGTATAGTGCTGAGGATACTCGCCCTTAACAATAAGGAGGGTGGGGAAGGGTCTAATGTGCCCTCGAAGGATAGGTGTCAGGCCCAGTCTGATTTACAAACTTCATTAATGATCTAGACAAGGGGGTCAGCAACATGTTAATGAGGTTTACAAATGATGCTAAGTTAGGAGGAGCTGAGAATAACAGTGTGGACAGAGTAAAGAGATTAAAGCCTGGAAAGGGAACACATCTGGGCAGGAAACTCCAGCAATGGGAAGCAGCAATGGCTGAAAGACAAGGGCAGTGAGAGGAGGCAGCAAATGAGACATGAATTTGCAATGCACTAATCCCGCAGAATAGACCAATGCAGCTTTGTGCTGCATGCTCCAAGGCATCGAGTCACAAAGCAACACAGGGACAGACCTCCCTATATGGCTTTGATGTGATTGCACCAGGAAAAGTGCATTCTGTTCTGGGCATGATATTACTGAAAAGTTGTTGATGAATTGGACGGAGTTGAGAGAACAACAAAAATACAAAGGGGTGGAGGGACGGAGTTATGAGGAAAGGTGAAAGGTGCTAAAGGTAAACAATGACGGGAGAAGGGACAGGAGAACAGAATAGGAAGGACTCTCAACAGCAAGCCAGGAAAGGAAATATTTACAGCACTACATAAGAACATAAGAACATAAGAATGGCCATACTAGGTCAGACCAAAGGTCCATCTAGCTCAGTGATTCCCAAACTTTAACAACCTGTGAACCCCTTTCACTAAAATGTCAAGTCTTGCGAACTCCTTCCTAAAAATGAATATTTCCAGGGATTTTCTCCTTTATCTGAGTATAAATTATAAAAGCAGTGACTTGGAAATATAAAATTTGTTTTCATGACATGCTTATTACACACTATTTATTATTAATTATTTATCATTACAGTATTTTTATTACATTATGAAAACGGCAACACTCTTCCAAGATCTCACTTTCGTAGCTTGTATCACTTTGAATAAGCCTGTTATAAGACAAGGCTCCTACGTTTCATCAAGGAGTATCAGATGTAAAACAGCATGAAGGTATTTAAGAAGCCAACTCAAAGAGTTCCTCCTACACAAGCATTCAGGTCTTGAGCAGTCCAGGCAAACAACGCACGTTACAACAAAGCTTAAACTTGTTCTTCATAATAATTTTAAAAACAATACTAGCTGCCTATTTAATTTTAAAAACAGCAAAAAATATCCACCTCCCTTTCCATTTCTTATAAAGAATCTTGAAGTTTAAATCTCCTCAGTGTGATAGATATGCTTGCTTTGATCTGCTTAGCTCTTGGAGGTCCAGGGGCTCTGTGCTGCTGGCCCCATGCTGTCTGGGGTCTCTAGGGACAGCTCTGTCCGCCATTAGGGAATTTTTCCCGAGAACCCCCTGTAACATTTGTTCACGAACCCTAGTTTGGGAACCACTGATCTAGCTTAATAACTTGTCTTCTGATAGTGGCCAGTGCCAGATGCTTCAGAGGGAGTGAAAAAAACAAGGTAATTATCGAGTGAGCCATCCCCTGTTGTCCAGTTCCAGCATCTGGCAGTTAAGGGCTTAGGGATACCTAGAGCATGGGGTGGCATCTCTGACCATCTTGGCTAATAGCCACTGATGAACCTATCATCCATGAACTTATCTAATTATTTTTTTAACCCAGTTATAATTTTGGCTTTCACAACATCCCCTGGCAGTGAGTTCCTCAGGTTGACTGTGCAATGTGTGAAGAAGTACGTCCTTTTGTTTGTTTTAAGCCTGCTGCCTATTAATTTCCTCGGGTGATGCCTGGTTCATGTGTTATGTGAAGGGGTAAATAACACTTCCTTATTCACTTTCTCCAAACCAGTCATGATC